CACGAAATCACAGCTTCCCTATCTTCATCAACATTTAACAATTCCTCAAAATATTCCTTCCATCTTCCCAATACCTCTAACTCTCCATTTAATAACTCTCCTCTCCTATTTTTAACTGACAAATCCATTTGTTCTCTAGGCTTTCTTAACTTGTTAATCTCACTCCTAAAACTTTTTCTTATTTTCAACGAAATTTGTTGATAACATCTCACCCCCTCTCTCATTTGCTCTCTTTTTACATTGCTTCACCACTCTCTTAACTTCTCTCTTTTTCTCCATATACTCTTCCCTCCTTGCATCACTTCTACTTTGTAAAAACTTCTCATATGCTAACTTTTTCTCCCTTACTACTCTCTTTACATCATCATTCCACCAATCGCTCCTCTTCCCTCCTGCACCCACTTTCCTGTAACCACAAACTTCTGCTGAACACTCTAACACTACATTTTTAAACCTACCCCATACCTCTTCGACCCATTGCCTATGCTCTCATTAGCCCATCTATCCTCCAATAGTGTTTATATCTTACCCTAACTGCCTCCTCTTTTAGTTATAAACCTTCACCTCTCTCTTCCCTGATGCTTCTATTCTCCTTGTATCCCATCTACCTTTTACTCTCAGTGTAGCTACAACTAGAAAGTGATCTGATATATCTGTGGCCCCTCTATAAACATGTACATCCTGAAGTCTACTCAACAGTCTTTTATCTACCAATACATAATCCAACAAACTACTGTCATTTCCCCCTACATCATATCGTGTATACTTATTTATCCTCTTTTTCTTAAAATATGTATTACCTATAACTAAACCCCTTTCTATACAAAGTTCAATCAAAGGGCTCCCATTATCATTTACACCTGGCACCCCAAACTTACCTACCACACCCTCTCTAAAAGTTTCTCCTACTTTAGCATTCAAGTCCCCTACCACAATTACTCTCTCACTTGGTCAAAGGCTCCTATACATTCACTTAACATCTCCCAAAATCTCTCTCTCTCCTCTGCATTCCTCTCTTCTCCAGGTGCATACACGCTTATTATGACCCACTTCTCGCATCCAACCTTTACTTTAATCCACATATTTTTTGAATTTACACATTCAATATTCTCTTTTCTCCTTCCATAACTGATCATTTAACATTACTGCTACCCCTTCCTTTGCTCTAACTCTCTCAGATACTCCAGATTTAATCCATTTATTTCCCCCCCCTGAAACTCTCCTACCCCCTTCAGCTTTGTTTCGCTTAGGGGCCAGGACATCCAACTTCTTTTCATTCATAACATCAGCAATCATCTGTTTCTTGTCATCCGCACTACATCCACGCACATTTAAGCAACCCAGTTTTATAAAGTTTTTCTTCTTCTCTTTTTTAGTAATTGTATACAGGGAGAAGGGGTTACTAGCCCTTTGCTCCCGGCATTTTAGTCGCCTCATACGACACGCATGGCTTACGGAGGAAAGATTCTTTTCCACTTCCCATGGACAATAGAAGAAATAAAAAAAGGAACAAGAGCTATTTAGAAAAAGGAGAAAAACCTAGATGTATGTATATATATATATGCATGTGCGTGTCTGTGAAGTGTGACCAAAGTGTAAGTAGGAGTAGCAAGATATCCCTGTTATCTTAGCGTGTTTATGAGACAGAAAAAGAAACCAGCAATCCTACCATCATGCAAAACAGTTACAGGTTTTTGTTTCACAGTCATCTGGCAGGACGGTAGTACTTCCCTGGGTGGTTGCTGTCTACCAACCTACTACCTACATGTAACATATGTATATATTTATACCTTCCTCGAGAAGGTGATATGTTTGGGTGTTTAGTAGATATACGTTGTACATGAATCATGTAGAATTGAATTTTATATTATCTCAATACATTGAGTTATACTGAATGTATCATGTTATTCAATATGTAATACAAGCATTTCATACAATATACAGTTACATATAAAGATTGTTACGTGTCAGGTGGCTTGACATGCAAAAGAAGGGGGGGGGTAGTGTTTTCAGAATGTAAGGTGTACATTCCATGGCAGGATTTTACAATCAGGAATTAGATATACTTACCAAGGGGTCTTTAGGTTAGATTTAGTGTTCCAGGCATAATGTCATTACTTCAAGGATTGGAGTGGTCATTGTTTACTGTACAGATTTGTGTCTTTAAGATGTAATATGTTAATTAGAAAGTACATGTACTATGCAGAATTTTTCATCACTGTTTCGCTATGTAATTTGTCGTTTACTTTTATGTACTATGCATGTTTTTTAAATAAAATATAAAAAAAAATAATAATATATGAAAGTTACATCCTACCTAACAACATAACTAAGTCAAATAATAATATAAAGCAATATATTTACGATTTAGCTATTATCGCAAAAATAAGCAATATAAAATTATATGAAAAGGTAATATACATTATATACATATACATAATATACATCATATACATTGTGACCCATTCAGGGGTTGCAACAGTTACCAAACTGAATGAAGGTTTTGTCAATGTTGAGAGTAAGTTTGTTAGTCCTCATCCAGGTAGATATTTTCTGTAATTCGGTATTTACAGTATTGGCTAGTGTGACTGGGCTCGGGTGAGAGAAGACGTATGTAGTGTTATCTGCAAATAATGTGGGTTAGAGTAGTTGCACACGAAAATCACTCACAATGAAAGCAAAATACTCGGCAGACGATGCAACATCCCCCCAGGGGTGTCACTAGCACGTTAAGAGACAATACAATAAGTGTCAAGGGCCCCAGGAGCAAGATGTTAGTAAGTAAGTAAGTAAGTTTATTCAGGTATACACAAATACAGTTACATAGAATTATCATACATAGCAGCATATGTGTAGAGAACCTAGGAGCTGGAAGATTTTCCAGACAGTGGTCAATTTTTAACAGCTGTTCCTGGAATTGCTGGGATGTTGCATCCGGAGGCTTGTAGACTACCACAATGACTAGGTTTTGGTTCTCGACCTTTACTGCTAAAACTTCCACTACATCATTTGAAGCATTAAGCAGTTCTGTGCAAACAAGTGACTCTGTAATGTACAGGCCAACCCCCCCCCCTTTTGCCTGTTCACTCTGTCACATCTGTATAGGTTGTAACCTGGGATCCATATTTCGTTGTCCAAGTGATCCTTTATGTGGGTCTCAGTGAAAGCCGCGAACATTGCCTTTGCCTCTGCAAGCAGTCCACGGATGAAAGGTATTTTGTTGTTTGTTGCTGGCTTTAGACCCTGTATATTTGCAAAGAAGAATGTCATGGGACTGGTGGTATTATTGGTACTGGGGGGGGATTTTTTTCCGGCATTAGTATCTGTATCTGTTGGTTTGGTGTGGTTATGTATGAAACGTGTTTAAGAATGTTTATATTTTCAACCATGTTAATAATGTTATTTTATAGTTTTGGTTAAGATGGTGACGGCAGATACAGCTGTTGGGAATAGGGGGTGGAGGGTTGTAGTGTGTGCTGTATTCTTATAGTAACTATTTGCACAGGGATGTTACATACGGGTTGTTATAAAGTTTCATTTCTAGTTTTCCATGAGCATCTGTTTTATGTCTGCATGTTAAACTATATAAACAATATGAAGTTCAACGATGAGAAATTTCAATTACTCAGATATGGTAAACATGAGGAAATTAAATCTTCATCAGAGTACAAAACAAATTCTGGCCACAAAATAGAGCGAAACACCAACGTCAAAGACCTGGGAGTGATCATGTCGGAGCATCTCACCTTCAAGGACCATAACATTGTATCAATCGCATCTGCTAGAAAAATGACAGGATGGATAATGAGAACCTTCAAAACTAGGGAGGCCAAGCCCATGATGACACTCTTCAGGTCACTTGTTCTATCTAGGCTGGAATATTGCTGCACTCTAACAGCACCTTTCAAGGCAGGTGAAATTGCTGACCTAGAAAATGTACAGAGAACCTTCACGGCGCGCATAACGGAGATAAAACACCTCAATTATTGGGAGCGCTTGAGGTTCCTAAACCTGTATTCCCTGGAACGCAGGAGGGAGAGATACATGATTATATACACCTGGAAAATCCTAGAGGGACTAGTACCGAACTTGCACACGAAAATCACTCACTACGAAAGCAAAAGACTTGGCAGACGATGCACCATCCCCCCAATGAAAAGCAGGGGTGTCACTAGCACGTTAAGAGACCATACAATAAGTGTCAGGGGCCCGAGACTGTTCAACTGCCTCCCAGCACACATAAGGGGGATTACCAACAGACCCCTGGCAGTCTTCAAGCTGGCACTGGACAAGCACCTAAAGTCAGTTCCGGATCAGCCGGGCTGTGGCTCGTACGTTGGTTTGCGTGCAGGCAGCAGCAACAGCCTGGTTGATCAGGCTCTGATCCACCAGGAGGCCTGGTCACAGACCGGGCCGCGGGGGCGTTGACCCCCGGAACTCTCTCCAGGTAAACTCCAGGTATGCTTCCTGGTGTTGCGATTTACGTTATATGTTTTGTTTTCATTTATATATTGTTATTATGGGTTCGAACCACTGTAATGTAACATTGTGTATTGATGTTTTATAATATTATTTTGTCATAATGTTTTAAGTATTATAAAATATGTTCCTAAACATATATGCTATAGGTCTAGCTATGTGATTATATAATATCTATTATGGTGGAGGAGATAGTGGTATATGATTTATTATAGCATGTCTTTTAGTGAATTTTTGTACTAGGATGACATATGTGGACCACAAAGCTCTTATCTGATTTTTATTTATGCATGATGAACATCCTCGGTGACTCCAAGTGTATATAGTGACTGTTGGAATGTTGAGCAATTTATATGGTGTACTGGGCTTATAAATTCTCATTTGGATACCTGTTTGTTAAGGGATGGTGGTTTTCTATATATTTATTTTTTATGTTGTAATATTACGTTTTAAATAAATAAAACTAATTAGAAATGAGGCGTTGCAATAAAACTGGCCAATGGGGTGCGTTGTGAGGCAGTCTCGTCCACCAATCAGGAGTCACTATTTAGTAAACGTGATTCAATCTGCTGGAGTTGCTGCTGCAGTCCACCTTCCCTCTTAATATTGTTTCTGTCTATTAGTACATCCTCTTTTGCACACCATCTGACAGGTAAATATGTTGTGTAGCACCTGAGTGCTTTATGTGTGTAGTGGTGTGAGTGTATGTGCTACAGTTAAGCGTACAGTAGCTAACATAGGTGTGCTGGCCTGCATTGGTCTCCCAGGGAAATTACAGTAGTTAGATTTACGTTGATGTAGTAATTTGATAGTTTTTCTGTAGACTGGTGTAGTCTACATGACCCCGGGCTGGTGTATTGTATTGGTAAGTATAGTTAGATACTGTCATACAGGTTTTGGGTAATTACAATTGTCTTGCGTCATAATCTATGTAACTATTTGTGTATACCTGAATAAACTTATTTATTTAACGTGTATAAATTATCTACGATAACCTGGATAAGTTGGTCTAAGTTACTTATTTCCACTGGGGTCCTTGTGATAGCTTATTAACACCCCAGGTGTCGAGAACCCCAGTGGAAATAAGTCACTGACATTTCTTGGATTATCCTAGGTAATCTACACGTGTTGCTATGTATTATAATCTATATAACTATATTTGTGTACCTATACCTGAATAAACTTAGTTAATGCCGTGAAAATCAGTCATGATTATAACCAAAACCTTTAAAATACTAAATAACTGTGTGAAAATTAGTTACCCTTATTGTGCCTATATTGTAAGTAAACTGAATGGTTTACATGAAGGTTAACAAGGGAAAGTGATTAATATAATAGGTACACGAATGTTAACGTGAGTGGAGGAGCACTACAGCAGGCCTACTGGCCATGCAAGGTGGAGGAGTACTACAGCAGGCCTACTGGCCATGCAAGGTGGAGGAGTACTACAGCAGGCCTACTGGCCATGCAAGGTGGAGGAGCACTACAGCAGGCCTACTGGCCATGCAAGGTGGAGGAGTACTACAGCAGGCCTACTGGCCATGCAAGGTGGAGGAGCACTACAGCAGGCCTACTGGCCATGCAAGGTGGAGGAGTACTACAGCAGGCCTACTGGCCATGCAAGGTGGAGGAGTACTACAGCAGGCCTACTGGCCATGCAAGGTGGAGGAGTACTACAGCAGGCCTATTGGCCATACAAGGTGGAGGAACACTACAGCAGGCCTACTGGCCATGCAAGCAGGCCTTTTTCAGACCAGAATCCTCCACCAAAAATACTTGCCCAACCCATTCAGTCCAACCCTCTCTTGCTCATGTATTTATTCAACCTCTATTTGAAGCTACCCAAAGTTTTAGCTTCAGTGACCCTACTTGGCTAATTGTTCCACTCGTTGACTACAGTAGAACCCCTCATTAATGGACTAATGGGGGGGAGAGAGAGTACAGTAATCCTGATTGTCTGTAACTCTCAAATTATGATATGTATCAATATTTCATGATCGTCCAGTTATCTTCTGAAGTAATGAAAGTGGTCCACTGATGCAAAAGACATCTAAACACCAAGAATCAGTTATTGCAACCTGTAGAACTACAGTTCAGTACTGTATAGTAATTTTATATTGCTCTATATAATTTACGGTAATTTTTCGTGGTAGAGAGAGTGTAAACTGCTGAGATTGTACTGATGACTCTGAATAACTTATTCTGAATCAGAGGAGCCACAAAGTTCTGCAAGTGAAAATAATGTCTTGAGTGAGATGTAAATAGCTAGGAAGATGTAAATGGCTGTGATGTAGAGGGCTGAGAAAACAGATGGCTGAAGAGACTTTGATTTCACATACACACTCTCCTCACTTATGGAGTCCCGTTCCTAAGACCACATTGGTAAACAAATTTGTCGCTGAGCAAGGAGCATACTATGATGGTAGTGGGTTTGTCTACTATTTTTGGCATTGATTTAATGTCACCTTTGCACCATTCATAACATTTCTGTTATATTTTTCAATGTTTATACAGTAGTGTATTGTATATTGAAATAAACAGAATAGAGGAAATCGTCTCTAATATACATTATTTAGGTATGAATACTTTTCGTGAATCAGTTGTCAGTAAGCGAGTATGTCGCTAAGTGAGGAGAGGCTGTACTTGTCACTGAGATACCAGGCTCAACCTTCATTATTAATTAGTTTCTCCTTAACACTGTGAACCACACAGTTTTTCTTGGCACCACCTCTTGCTTTAGAGGCCATTGGTAATTGCATGTTACTTAATATGTTAATAAAGTCAAAATGCTCTAAATCTTAGGGAAAATTAGAAACAAAATCTCTTAATAAAAGGTCTGTTAATGGGAGAATTTAATGTACTATAAAATTACTATACAGTACAGTACTGGTCTGTAGTATTACTGGTTACAATACCTGTGTTTTAAGTGTCTGGTTGTCTTCGTTAGTGGACCAAGCCCACTAAAGAAGACAACCAGACGATCATGAAAAACTAATTTCGTAATTTGGAAGTTGCAGACAATCGGTAATGTCATACAACCCCTCCCCCCTCTCCCCCATTAGCCCATTAATGAGAGGGTTTACTGTACTATTTTAGGTCAGTATTTGTAAAAAAGAATAATTGTCCCCAGGCAATTGTATTAGCAATATCCATTTTTCTCTGGAAGGGGTGTGCCCATTTTCTATGGAATTCATAGTAATTGTGTCAGACAATCTGAATGACTACAAATAAACTCACACTTATCCCTTTTACTGTCCAGACCCCCAATCTGAAACTTGTCTACTGTCCAAGAATTTTCAAAAAAATTTTTGATAATTTTTTCTTATGAAATTGTAGAGAATATTTTTCTGAAGGTAATAAAACAAAAAATACAAAATCTGTTGGAAAATTGACAATTTTAATTGCGAACTTTTGTCGGTGATATTTACGCATCGGCGATTTTACCTACTGTGAGTACTATTTTAGGCCAATTACATTGTTCTCGTCAACTAAATTCTTAGCTACTTTGCTAGTATGTATTCCATTTTATCGAAATTGCCCAATTATCTATTTCAACTACTCAGTGTCGTCATCAGAAATTGGTAATTTGGCTAATTTGACATAAATTTCAAAATACATGTATTCCAATTTCAGTATAGTCCAGAATAAACAGTGCAGGCATTCCTGGCACTAAAATAACATTTCCTGTGTTCATTATATGTTTCAGGCTTTACACATGAATTCTATTTCGATTTTTAATTCGCACAAAAAAATTGACTACTGTTATGCAATATTGTAATAATTGTATAATTAATATCAGCGCATTCATGAATGCATATCAGACTTGCCAGTTAGATGTGCATTAGACAAGTAATGTGATTTGTTTACTCCTGAATATCAGCAAAAATCAAACATTTCTGCTACTTCGAGCTCAATTTTAAACTTTTCTCAGTCCTGAAACCAGTCAAAATCTTCTCTCTTTCTGTAATATATCTTCCATTCTATCAAATGAGACCAAGAAACTGAGAATACAACTATAAAAACCATATGAAAATACACTGGGAAGTTGCTGTTTTAAACCAAAAACAGTTGGTTGTTTTCTCATTATGCACTGTGTGCTGTAGAATTTTCTTTTATATGGTTTATACTTAGAGCATAGACCCATTCTCTCATATATAGACCCAAATTTACTGCTCACAGCTTATCTGAGCTGAGCTGAGCTCATGCCCTATTACTACGGCATGACCAGTGACCTCAAAGCCATAGTACTATGGCACAGCCATTCATACTTGTGCAGTTAACCTATTTTAACTCGGATGTTTCTTGGGAAATAAAATGATCTTACGTTATTCACTGAGGTTAGCTGGGCAGCTTTTGATTAGCAGTAATAACTTTTAAAAATTTATTGGGAGCCAGTGGTGTAACTTTTTGAGTGTAAACAAAGGATTTCTCTAAATTCTCTTAAAAAATTAATGCAATTTTTTTAATATGTACTCATTTTCACAGCACCATGAGTAAACAGAAGGCAAATATAAAGGTGGTTATCACGTCTCATGTTGATAAAAAGGACAACAGACAAGAGATAAAAGAAAATAAACCAAAGTAAGTAACAGTGTTTGTTTGCTCAAGTGTTTTTGTTGCTAGAGGTACTGTTATAATTATTGTACTGCATTTAGTAAATGTTACCAATGTTATATAATGCACAGAATGAAGGATAGTTCACTGTCATTATTAAAATAAATTCATTAGGTTTTCAACAAAAATATAAATTTTGTTTTATTGCTTAGGTCTTTTGTATGTAGTGCATATATAAAATTTTGTACAGAATGTATGCATTGTAATTGTGCTTATGTTGAATGATGCTTGAATTTTGTCTGGACCATTCTAATAGCTATTAATGTTACATATAATCATGTACAGTAACCAAAACCAAAAGCTTTTTAGTTTTGCTACACTGGATTGCATGGTAACCCATTGTATTCAAAAGAGTTGCTTTCCTGAAATATGTGGCAAATGTTAAAATAGGTGAATACAGTGTATTACAAACACTGGTAGCAATTCAAGCAACCTGACAAAAGAAGGGCAAGACAAACACAGAAGAGGAAGCTTTTTCTTTACCCATATAGTCTATCACTACTATATACATTTTTTATAAATAAAAAAAAAGAGGCACAATACCGTGACTGGAACGATACACAAATAACCCGCACATAAAAGAGAGAAGCTTACAACGACGTTTTGGTCCGACTTGGACCATTGACAAAGTCACACTGGTCCAAGTCGGACCGAAACGTCGTCGTAAGCTTCTCTCTTTTATGTGCAGGTTATTTGTGTACATTTTTTATAGTCAAGTTGGCAGTACAGTGGAACCTTGGTTTTCGTGATTAATTCGTTCGAAAAAGTCTGACAAAAACCAAATTGTACGAAAACTGAAGCAATATTTCCCATAAGATATAATGTAAATCTAGTTAATCTGTCTTAATGTTGGATGAGAGGTGAGCAGTATTTATTTGTAGGAAGTCAATGTAGGTAGCCGGTAGGTGTAGCCTGCCTGGGTTACATGTACCAGCTACCTACACTGCGGCCCAGAGCCGTATTGTTACCATCTACAGTTGACCCTCTACTGACGGCGGCATTAAGTAACGGCAATTTTGTCTAATGGCGCTTTTTGCCATAGAAAAAAATGCCTTGACCAACGGCAAAAGACTTGACCAACAACGTCAGTGTGCCATTGTTTACAAGCTGTTGTGGTCGGTTTCTATGTGTACCTCCCATACGTTTTGGATTATTCCACTGTTTCTAGTGCTTGTTACCACTAAATAAGCCACCAAGGGCCCCTCGAAAGCTTCTAGAGCCAGCCCTTTGGTAGAGGATGTGAGAAACACGATCGAATTCAAGAAAAAGTTTGTAGAAAAATACGAAAGTGGTGGGGGGGGGGTAGTGATGGTGGTTGTGGTGGTGGTAGTGATGGTAGAGGGTGGTAGCGATGGTGGTAGAGGGTGGTCCAGTGATTCTCAAGCTGGTCCTAGTGGCATTAAAAAACCAAGAAGGGAGGTAACCCCACCAAAGGACTTGGTACCTGAAGTCTTTATGGAAGGGGATTCTCCTTCCAAGCAATAGACAATCCTGAATCTTCCTGGCTGCTGGCACATCACTCATCAACAACTCCACAATGAAGGTAAGTGGCATTTAATTATTGTTTATTTTGCATGTCCCATTCCTTTCCATATAAGGAAATGTATATTTCATGTAAAATTTTTTTTTCCAGACTTTGGGGTGTCAGGAACGGATTAATTTTATTTCCATTATTTCTTTTGGGGAAAATGAACTCGACCAACGGCAAGCCCTCTGGAACGGATTAATGCCGTTGGTTGAGGGTCCACTGTACATACCTTGTTCACTGAATTTAACTGTTTTTAACTACCTTTAGATGCCATCACAAACGAAGGGAGAAGTCTTGAATAATTCATGCCAAGAATTGTAAACAAAATTGGGAGTGACAAGGCCAAACCCAGAGTCATACACGTTTTCTTTGGTGCTGGACCAGAGAAAATATAATGTTTTCCCTCTACCCGGCATATAAACATGCTATGTTTATATGGTATGGAGGTGTGGTTGCCGGGTGGGGGGGGGAAAACATTACGTAATACAGTGAACCCCGCCGTTCGGCAGCTGCGACTTTCATGAAATCCGACTTTCAGCAACTTTTTTCACCAAAATATAGCCTCGCGGTTTGTGATTGGCCTCGTGATTCGGTGACCGTCCGGTACGCGTCCGCTGCCAGTGTGCACACAAAGCCAGTCTCCCACACCATTCACACTCAGTGTGCCATTGTTTCCCAGTGAGTGACCATCACCCCACTGGTTCATACAATACATTTCATAATCCATTGTTTTTTGTGCTTGCAACTGCTTAATAAGTCACCATGGGCCCAAAGAAAGCTAGTGCCAGCGCTTTGGTAAAGAAAGTGAAGAACACAATTGAATTCAAGAAAGAAATCATTGAAAAATATGAGGAGTGTGTGTTAGAGCTTGCCAGGATGTATGGCAAACCCCATTCAACCATCACTTCAATCGTGGCGAAGGGAAAGGAAATAGTGTGCTGTTGCTGCAAAAGGGGTAGATATGCTGGCAATAAAGAGATCGCAAACCCTTGAAAAAGTGGAGAGGTTATTGTTGGTGTGGATTTCCCAAAAACAGTTAGCAGGAGATAGTATTATGCAGTCGATAATATGTGAGAAGCCAAGGCAGTTGCATGACGACCTTGTAAAGAAAATGCCTGCAGCGAGTGGTGGTGTTGGTGATTTTAAGGCCAACAAAGGCTGGTTTGAGAGATTTAAGAAGCGTAGTGGCATAGACAGTGTGGTAAGGCATGGTGAGGCTGCCAGTTCAGACAAAAGGGCGGCTGAGAAGTTTGTACAGGAGTTTAAGGGGTACGTAGACACTAAAAAATTCAAACCGCAACAAGTGTTCAATTGTGACAAAACAATGCCATAGAGGACCTACATCACGCAGGCGGAAAGGGCACTCCCAGGACACAAGCCTATGAAAGACAGGCTAACTCTCATGTTTTGTAGTAATGCTAGTGGGGATTGCAAAATTACTGGTCGACAACTCTGAAAATTCCAGAATGTTCAGGAAAAACAATGTTGCCAAGAGTGAATTGCGCGTGATGTGGAAGGCTAACAGTAAGGCATGGGTCACAAGGAAAATTTTCCCTGTTTGGTTTAATGAAGTGTTTGGCCCCAGTGTGAAGAAATACCTCCTGGAAAATAAATTGGAACTCAAGTGCCTCCTGGTAATGGATAGTGCTCCTGCTCGTCCCCCAAACTTGGAAGAGCAAATGGTGGAGGAGTTTCATTTCATTACAGTGAAGTTCTTGCCTCCTAATACAACTCCTCTCCTCCAGCCCATGGACCAGCAGGTCATTTCAAACTTCAAAAAACTGTACACCAAGGCAGTGTTTCAAAAGTGCTTTGAAGTGACCTCAGACTCTGAATTGATCCTAAGAGAGTTCTGGAAAGATCACTTCAATATCCTCCATTGCATAAATCTTATAGGTAAGGCTTGGGAGGGAGTGACTTGCAGGACTTTGAACTCTGCTTGGAGAAAATTGTGGCTAGAATGTGTTAGAGAGGTACTTTGAAGGGTTTGGGGCTGACCCTGAGAAGCCTATGCCAGTTGTGGAAAGTATTGTCACTGGGGAATTCCATGGGGTTGGATGTGACTTTGGAGGATGTGGAAGAGATGGTGGAGGACCACAATGAAGAGCTAACCACTACAGAGCTGCAAGACCTTCATTTGCAACAGCAACAGACCACAGCTCAGGAAGTGGCTTCAGAGGAGGAAGAGAGATGGAGGAAGGTGCCTTCTTCAAAGATTAACCCTTTCAGGGTCGACAGGCCCTGTCAGAGACTTGTTCTCAGGGTCGGCCAAATTTCAAAAAAAAAAAAACTTTTTTCTTATGAAAAAATAGTTTATTTTACTGAACATTATAGGCTAAACAAAAATTTTTTACCATCAATACTTACCGAGATATGGAGGCGTGAAGTTGATGAAAAAGGGGCACCATGTGGCAACATCGCCGACTGCCGTCACCCGGTATTCTTTTATTTACTTTCTTATGTACTAATTTCTATTATTTTTTAATTTTTCTTTTTCCAAGTAACTTTTATGGCTTGTGAGACCAGTATGATCAGTATTTTGTAAGTTATTTCTTTTTCAATACTACACAATAAGGGCGTAAACACTGTTGTCATTGTTTTGTTTACAAAAAATATTGGCACAAACAAACGATATGAAATGTTGTTCATTACCATTTTTCTATATTTTATATACACGCATAGTCACGGGGGAATGTTTCTAGAATTCTGCAGCCTGTGGAAGTCTTTGAAACATGGTGTCCTGCACAGTGGTGTTTTACATTCTTCACACATAAAATGAGTGTCCCTGCATTGTTGTGGGCGTTTTCTTGTATGTGCACAGACGTAACGCCTCTTTTGAGCCTTCTTCTTGAAAGCAGTAGCAGGCAGTTTTACCAGGAAGTGATCACCATGCTTCAAACGAGAAGGAAGTTGTTGAAAATTTGGTGGGCGGTCTATTGCCGGTGCTGTTCCTTGGTACTTAACCCTTTGAGGGTCGACAGGCCCTCTCCGAAACTCGTTCTCAGGGTCGGCCAAATTTAAAAAAAAAAAAAATTATTTTCTCTTATGAAAAGATAGAGAATCTTTTCCCGATCATAACGACACCAAAAGTTTGAAATTTGATAGAAAACTTACGGAATTATGCTCTCGCAAAGTTAGCGGTCTCGGCGATGTTTACGGATCGGCGATTTTGCCCACTTTGAGCCCCATTTTCGGCCAATTTCACTGTACTAGTCGACAAAAAACATGAATATTTCGCTAGAACTCCATTTTTTCTATCGAATGGGTGCAAGAAACCACCCATTTATAAATTCAACTATCCAGTACAGTGGTCAGAATTTAGCAATTTTGCCAATTTCACACAAATTTCAAAAGATGCCAATTTCGGAATAGGGTCCAGAATAAACAAGAAAGACATTCCTGGCACTAAAATGACATTTCCTCTAGTCATTAGTCACGTCTCAAGGCCCCTCTTATATTTTTTTTTTTTTTGTTTTTTTTTTTTTTTTGCTTTCCACTTTGAATTTTTATTCTACAAAACCTCAAGGAAGTTCCTTGATGTTGTGAGGCTCTTGATTAGAGATGATCTGTGCATCCAGTCCGAATTAACTGAATGCCTATCCAATCCCCCCCCAGCGCTGTATAATCTCCGGTTAGCGCTTCCCCTTGATTAATAATAATATAATAAGATTCTCACAAAAATATAGATTACTGTTATGCAGACTACTGCGATTGTTAATAAATGGTATAAATATATTGGTGCACTTGTGAAAGAATATTAGAGCACCAGTTGACTGTTTGCACGCTGGCACGATGCTTACTTTGAAGTTTGGTAAAATGAACATTCGCACTTGAGCTCATTTCAAGGCACTTATTGTAAAACCAGTCAAAATCACTCATTTCAGTAATAGTCTTCATTCTATAAAATGAGACCAAGAAACTGAAACAACAATAATACCATGACAATTACCTGCAAAGTCGCTGATTTATTAAAAAAAAATGGAAAAAGTTTTTTTTTTCTCATTATGCACTGTGTGCTGCAGGATTTTTTTTAGACTGTGCACACTGACCACATAGACGCATTCTTTCATATGAAGGCCTACCAGCTTTCTCCCACTAGATTTGAGGTCGCTAGAATTTATGAGTACTAGTACGTCAAAAACCCCTACGCGTAAGACGTACTAGTACGACGAAAACCCTCAAAGGGTTAAATACTATTTGTCTGATGACAGACAAACAGAATTCGCCGTATTGTGGTTTGTTTCTGGTCTTCATCATATTTATTTATTTATTTATTTATTTATTTATTTATTTCCAATTTGTGCACACATACAGAGGTACAAAAAAAAATACAGATAAGAGCAGTATGCCAAAGCCACTTATACTATGCATAGCATTACGGGCTGGCTTAAAATTAACTTAAGATTAACTAAGCAATGATTTATTATTATTATAATCAAAAAGAAGCGCTAAGCCACAAGGACTATACAGCGCTGCTACTAAGCAATGATGAAATCAGTGATAAAACATTAATGTAAACAGATAACTATAAAGCACAAGTGAGTATTACAAAGACAGGTCATATGGTTGCATTCAGTTAGGTAGTGATTCTGTTAGGTAGTGTATTTAAAAAATAATAAAGTTAGATTGGGTTTTAGGTTTAACATTTATGTGATATAATTGTGAGAAACATTTAAGATATACAATTTATAATGTTCAGTTATTCAGTATTTATTTGGTTTTGGGTGAGTAAGTAATCTTTGAGAAGAGACTTGAATTTATAAACAGGTTGTGTTTCTTTTATATTTACAGGTAATGAATTCCAGATTTTAGGGCCTTTTATGTGCATTGAGTTTTTGCATAGTGTGAGATGGACACGGGGAACATCAAAGAGTGATCTGTGCCTTGTGTTATGGTCATGTGTTCTGTTGAGGTTGGCAAGGAGATGTTTGAGGGGAGGGTTAATATCAGAGTTAAGTGTTCTATGTATGTAATAGGTGCAGTAATAAGTATGGATGTTTTGTATGGTGAGTAGGTTTAGTGTATTGAATATTGGTGGAGTGTGCTGCCTGTAGTGAGAATTTGTTATCATTCTAACTGCAGCCTTTTGTTGGGTAATTAGTGGTCTGAGATGGTTAATTGTTGTTGAGCCCCATGCACAAATTCCATAGGTGAGATAGGGGTAAATAAGAGAGTGATATAGGGCCAGGAGGGCTGACTGTGGAACATAGTACCGTATCTTCGATAGTATGCCTACAGTCTTGGAAATTTTCTTAGAAATTTGATGTATATGTGTATGAAATTTGAGTCTATTATCAAGGTGGATTCCTAAGAATTTTCCCTCTATTAGTTTTGTGATAGGTGATCCATTTATCATTATGTTAAGAGGGACATCTGTAGCTCTGTTACCAAACTGAATGAAGTAGGTTTTGTCAATGTTTAGTGTAAGTTTGTTAGTCCTCATCCAGGTAGATATTTTCTGTAATTCGGTATTTACAGTATTGGCTAGCGTGACTGGGCTCGGGTGAGAGAAGACGTATGTAGTGTCATCTGCAAATAGTGTGGGTTTGAGTAATTGCGAAGCATTTGGAAGGTCATTTATGTATAGGAGAAAGAGAAGAGGGCCAAGGACACTTCCCTGTGGGACACCAACTGTAATTGGTTGTGCAGAAGAGTTTGCCCCATTTGCGTACACATATTGGCTTCTGTTGCTGAGGTAAGACTTGAGGTAGTTGAGGGAGTGCCCTCTTATACCATAGTGTGACAATTTTACGTGGAGCAAGTCATGGTCAACTGTATCAAAAGCTTTACGTAAGTCAATGAAGACCCCCAGTGGGACTTCTTTTTTCTCTATTGCAGTGTATATATGTTCTAGCATGTGTATAATAGCATCATTAGTATTTTTATTAGGCCTGAATCCAAATTGGCAGGGGTTGAGTATGTTTTGGGAGATAAGGTAGGAGTAGATTCGTTTATGAATTAATTTTTCGAAGATTTTTGAGAGAGGGTGTAAGTTGGATATTGGCCTATAGTTATTCAACTCTGTTTGGTCTCCTCCTTTGTGGATCGGGGTGACCCTTGCTATTTTGAGTACTGTAGGGAAGGTGGAGGATTCAATGGATTTGTTAAAGAGTGTTGCAATGATTGGTGATAGCACTTGTGACACTTTTTTGTATATAAGGGGTGGTAAGGTATTTAAATCTCCTGCCTTGTTTTTTAGTGCGTTGATAATAAGGGAGACTTCGTATGGGTTAGTCGGAGCTAGGAACAGTGTGTTCGGGTAGTTGCCGGTGAGGTAGTCATTTGGTGGGGTATCTGAGCTTGAGATTTATTGGCAAGGTTTTGTCCTATAGTGGAGAAGAAATCATTGAGTCTGTTTGCTGTTTCTGTTGGTGGGAGTTGGGGTTCATCTGTTTTTGCTAATTTTATTTCGCTATTTCGTGATATCTTTTTTGTTCCCAGAATTTCTGATAGGGTTTTCCAGGTCTTTTTTATATCACCTCGTAAGTTGGATAATCTGTTCTCATAATACAATTTTTTTGCCCTTCTTATCAGGCTGGTTAGGATTGACGAGTAACGTTTTGTTTGGTCTCTGGTTATGTGACCCATTCTGTACTGTTTTTCATATTGGTGTTTTGTATTTATGGATTTGAGAATGCTGGGTGTTAGCCAGGGACTGTTCAGTCTCTTTGCTGTCATCTGTTTAGTTTTTTTAGGGCAGTGCTTGTTATAGAGGTATTGGGTTTTTTTTTAGAAAAAATTTTTAATACATTTGTCAATATCTGTATAGGTTTCTAGCTCAGTGTGCCAATCAATGTTTGCTATTGCTGTTGTGAAGTTATTAATGGCTGCCTCATTGTGAAGTCTGAAGGTGACTTTAGTAGTGTCTTGGGGTAGTTTACCAAGAGTTGTTATGAGGAAAGTAGGGTAGTGGTCTGTGGTATTATCTGTAATTATGCCTGATTTTAAAGGGGATATGGTGTTGGTCCAGATGTGGTCAAGTAGGGAAACACTAGTCTCTGTAACTCTTGTAGGTTTTGTTACTGTTGGTAGTAACATACAGTTACTCATTGTGTTTGTGAATTCAGTAACGTGTGGGTCCTGGTCTTGCAGGAGATTTATATTGAAGTCACCTGAGAGTAGTAAGTGATCTTTGTTCATGCGTGCATCAGTTATCATACTTCCTAGATTTTGACTAAATTGGCTAATGTTTGACTGTGGAACTCTGTAGATGTTTATCAATGTGAGAGGTTTTTTGTAGGTACTTTGATTTGAATTTAGCTATTATATATTCCCCATGTTCATCCCTTGTGCAAGTATTAGTGATACATTCTAGTTGGTCTGAGTAGTATATGGCTGTGCCACCCCCTTGTTGATCTGGCCTACAGTTGTGTATGGCTGTGTAACCAGGAATGGCATAGACATCTGTACTATCAGGCTTTAGCCAGGTTTCAGTTAGTGTAATGATGGACATATTGGCATGTAAGGAATTTAGTAATGCTATGAGGTCATCGTAATGCTTGCTTAAAGATCTGATATTGTAGTTAAATATAGTTATGTTGTTGTTGGCACTGAGAAGTGCCTTTGATTGTTCTGCAGTGTAGTAATTACAGTTACTGTTTGATTCATTTAAGTCATTAAATAAGAGGTTGGTATCAGGATCAATGCTTGTAATCATAAGATTTGTAGTGAATCTATAGTTTGAATTAAGTATAAAACAAAGTAAATAGTCTTAAGCTAAAAAATAGCACCTGGATTATTTAACAAATGTAAAATAATGAGCTAAGGGACTAACATATTATAAGCATTCAGCATGGAAATGTCCAGAAGATAGAAAGAGTTTTATGTACCACTTATAACTCTTGCGAACACAATCAGCAAACCCAATCTCCATGTCACATTTGTCCACTGAATGCATATTGAGGGTGTAGTCCATCACCGCTGCAGGTTTTAGAATGGGTTCATTGCTTTCTCTATGCTGCCTGCCAGTGTCTGCCATTTCATTAGGGTGAACTGATGACAACAATGTGACATCTCGTTTGTCATGCCACCGAAATGCCATGTCATTAGCAGGAAACGCCTGCACCTCACCTCTACGAGTGCCAGCGCCAAACCTGGGCATATGTTTCCGATTTGCATGCACTGTGCCACACACATCTGTCATGTTCACTCTCAAAAAATCACTGAGTGTGGGGCTTGTGTACCAGTTATCTGTATATAATATATGCCCCTTACCAAGATATGGTTCCATCATTGTTCTAACCACATCACCAGAGATGCCCAATAACTTCCTGGTATTTTGCAATGTACAACTTCCAGTGTACACAATAATATCCAATACCAGACCACTGTAACAATCACAAAGCACAAACGACTTTATACCAAAGCATTTCCTCTTGCTTGGTATGTACTGTTTGAAAGAGTCTTCCTTGAACAGAATCAAAGACTCGTCAATTACAAGTTTCCTGAAGGGATAAAAATACATAATGAATTTCTCTTTCAGATACACAAACACATGCCTAATCTTATATAACCTGTCATTTCTGTCAGGCCTGGTTTTGTCTGAGAAGTGAAGCATACGTAACATTAGCACAAATCGATTCACTGGCATTATATCACTGAAACCTGGGGTTGCAATCAGGCGGTCTGTTGACCAGTATGATTTCACACTGTGCTTATACACATGTGGCGTAAGCATTATTGTGGCAAAGAAAAGATACATCTCAGCCACAGTTGTCTCCTTCCACTGGTGTAGACGTGATTTTGGTGAAAGTATTGTTTGCCATGGTGTACTCGTAGTATGTGTTGCTTTCCATGACAATACTTTCCATCAGGGGTTCGTCAAAGAATAACTCTAAACATTCCAGTTCACTGGCATTGTTCCCAAGTGTACAGGATGGCTGTATTCCACTTTGGCTGTCATGAAACTGGTGGGGATTTGGAACAAAATTGACAGCTTCCTGCCAATCCCAGGTGCAGTCTGCTGGTGGGTACTGGACAATGACAGGTGGTTGTGGTTGTGGAGGTTGTGGTTGTGGAGGTTGTGGTTGTGGAGGCTGGTGTGGTGGGTGGGTGGGGGATGGTGGCCTTTGTTGTAGATCAGCTGAGGCAGCGGCATGGGTGGCAGCATGGCCCACTGCTGGTGCCTCACGGACAGCACCACCACTACCACCACAATGCACATTTTCCATCCCAATTGCAACACTATCATCGTCATTTTCACTGTCTGTTCCTGTTGTACAGCCACGGGATGTACTCCTTCCCCTTGGAATAGCATATGGCACACTACCAGAACGCATATATCGTCGTATATACTGACACTTCACTGGGGAATGTTGCACTTCACTATCACTACTGGAACTAGTTTCAAGAGCTTGTAGTTCATATTCACTATCACTATCATCACAAATGCTCACATCTGAGTCTGGGATTTGGGAAAATAGGAGTTTCCTCTTTGATTCTGGTACAACTGAATGTGAACAAGACGGCCCAGCACCAGAGGTGGAAGGCTGAGGGTCGTCTGGGTTTTCCTCACTATTACCGATATTATGGTCATTAGTTTCGGTCAAAACCTCACCAAAACCTTGAAACTCATCTTCACTGGCACTTCCATCTGTATTAGAACTGTCACTTGGGAACAAAAGTGTCCCAATTCGCCGAGGAGTGAGGAACTTCTTACCGCGAGGCATGGTGGACATTGTTTACAAAGATGGTGTTCCCACAATGCACCACTGGGTCCCAGATTTTTTTCCTACTGCGCACACCCACCACAGACCCATTCTCTCGCATCTAGGCCTACCAGCCTTTTCCCGCAAGATTTGACGGCGCTAGAATTTATGCGTACTAGCACGTCAAAAACCCTTGCGAGTAAGCCATACTAGTACGGCCGAAACCCTGAAATGGTTAAGGATATTTGTGCAAAGTGGACTGAAGTGCAAACATTTATGGATAAACTTCACCCTGACAAAGCTGTTGCTGGCCGTGTTCACAGCATGTACAATGACAATGTTGTGTTAAACTTCAGACAAATATTAAAGAAATGCCAGAAACAGGGCTCTCTGGACAGATATTTTGTGTGACAGGGGTCCAGTGACTCGAGGTGTTCCCAGTGGCATTAAAAAGCAAAGAAGGGAAGTAACCCCAGATAAGGACTTGGTACCTGAAGTTTTTATGGAAGGGATTCCCCTTCCAATCAATAGTACACCTTCATCCTCTCCCCTCCCGTCTTCCATCCACCCAGAAGTCTTCAGTAAAGGTAAGTGTAATGTTATTATTTTATACATGTATGTACTTGATTTTTCATTGTTTTCTGTATGTAATTTTTTTTTTTTTTTTTTTTTTATATGCTTTTGGGTGTCTGGAATGGATTAATTTTATTTTTGTTGTTTCTTATGGGAAAAATGGTAACACCATTTGTCACTTTCGTCCTTCTGCAGACTCTCTGGAATGGATTAATCAGGAAACTCGGAGGTCCACTATACAGCCTCTCCTCGCTTAACAATAGAGTTCCGTTCCTCAGACCTCGTCAGTAAACGAATTCGTCACTAAGTGAGGAGCATACTATAATGGTAGTGGGTTTGTGTTAACCATCATCGATATTGTTTTAATGTCACCTTTGCACCATTTATAACATTTCTGGTATATTTTTAAATGTTTGTACATTAGTGTACTGTATGTTTAAATAAACAGAATAGAGGAAACCAGCTCTACTATACA